ACTCCGACCACATTTGTGGCATGTACACAATCTGTGACCATCAAGTCCCCTAGTATGTCTGCAGTCTCAGACAGTCCTCTAGCATTACCTATACTGAACATTTTGTGCCCTTTTAGTTATATCAGGAGCCATAGTTGAGGCCTTCTTTACTTCATAACCTCATAACCACTGACTTAAATGGTCAGAAACACAATTCCCCTATGTTTTTATTAACCATTGTCCTGATTGTTCCACTTACGGGCTCATTCATTAATATCTGCAGTTTATATTACTGAACCCAGCCTTTTTTTTTCTTTTTTTTTTTAACTTGATCCCTCTAGTCAGTAACTGGCTGTGTTTATGAAGAGTCTTCATATAGGTGGTAGGTGTAGGCATCTGTCCTTAGAACTTGCTGTGTATGTGCAATCCCTTGGCCTTTTGCACAGATTTGTAAAGTGATATGCTGGGGGGGAATCCTTTCGCATAAGAGGATCAATCTTGTCAGCTGGGTAGAGAGCCACTGTCTGCTCAGACATCTGTTAAGTCAGTTAAACATAAGTTAAATAACAGTTTGCAATGGTGTAGGTCCTGCTGCACAAACTGGAAATGTACAGAATGCGTATTCCCAGCTTCACTCCTGCACATATACAGGTGAAACTCGAATAATTAGAATATCGTGCAAAGTTCATTTATTTCACTAATGCAACTTAAAAGGTGAAACTAATATATGAGATAGACTCATTACATGCAAAGCAAGATAATTCAAGCCGTGATTTGTCATAATTGTGATGATTATGGCTTACAGCTCATGAAAACCCCAAGAACCCCAAATCCACAATCTCAAAAAAGTAGATTATTACATGCAATCAATAAAACAAGGATTGTACATAGAACAATATTGGAACTGTGAAAAGTACAAGCATGCATATGTACTCAGTACTTGGTTTGGGCCCCTTTTGCAGCACTTATTGCAATTACTTTTGCACGATATTCTAATTATTCGAGTTTCACCTGTACTTTACAAACATATGCATTTATGTGTAGTGTTAAGATTTTAAGATGATTGTTGATGTTTGTATACATTTCTTTTGGGTGAAATTGTTGTGTTGGGATACAGCACATCTTTGCACCATTCATTTGTAAGAGAGAGCATTGGCAGAAAAAGAAATTCAGCAGTAAGCCAACAAGAATTGCTGGTTTCCCTTGTTTGTATGTTGGCTTTGCTGCTTCAGAGCAAAGCTGATGATCTGCAGAGATCTACCTACAGCAGCCCCAACTTTAGCCTACTGAGCCACTCTACAGAATCAACCAGGGAAATGCTAATCGTAGAAGAGTCCATTTTGTAAAGGAGAACTGCGGCTTATAGCCTGGTGTCCTTAAACAATACAAAAGTGCCTTTGTGTTTCATGTGAGACTTCTGCACACAATCTGATTTTGTGCCAGGGGGTTCTGTGAGTTCAGTGCAGAATGATCAGTCCTGATTAGCTGGGCAGAACACTTGGTTACACAGCCCTGTCCAGCTTTGCCTTGGACGGAACATGAATTTTGGAACGGGCACGCTTTATTAAACTATAAAGAATTTCAAGGCTGTGTTCAGAAAATTCCTTTACCTAAAGCCTACTTAAATCTCCAGCTATTGGTAAGATCTCAGTTTAAAGCTGACCTTTACCCCTGACTAAAAATCACATCAGCGTGCAGCTCTGCATGCTGATATGAAATCATCTTACATTAGCTAAACATATTTTTATTTTACTTCCATTTTTTCCCCCAGTTTAGCACAAAGGATGTAATCTGTGCCCAAGCATTGCATCCTGGGAAGTTTGCATCAGCAGAGCATTGCTGGGAAATCTCATCTGTAATCTCACAAGATCTCAGGGAAAGACATTTTTCCACCATTGAGATGATGTGCATGGTCACATGTCCTAGTCACAAGTGCCAGAGTTCCAGGAAGTAAAGGGAGATATAATAACCTGCCCTGAGTTTAATTGGCCAATGTGAGGAGAATGGGGAGGAAAAGAGAAATGTTATACATAAAATAAGAAGCCGGCAATTATCTAGAAGTATGTGTTTTGTAGATTGTCATTACTAAACATTTCTAAAGGTGACTTTTGTTGTTGTTTTGAAGATATGGGTACTTATGACCTCATTGGTGAGATTGTGCCTTATTTCCTTGCCCTGTGACACCTGTGCAGGAAATGGAGCATGTGATTGTCACCAAGACGGAAGGTATTGTCCATCTCTTTAACCCTTCCCCCCAACCTACTGTGTCCCTATTGCAGAACTTTTCTATGATATCTTGTCCGTGCAAGAAGGAGATGATATAGTAATGAAAACCTGGGCTTGTAACTCCTCCATTCTTGATGATTTCTAGTCCTGTCAGTATTTTTGCCAGGAATATGCTCATAGAATTTGTGACTTGTGATCTTTGCACACAGTTGTTAAATATTGTCTAGCATTGTAAAATACATGTAGTCTTGTGCCATATTTATAAAGGCTGGAATTGTTTGCTATATAGAGAATGTTTGTTTCGTATTTGGGAAAGTGACATCTGCTGGCTGTATGAAGCTACCACACTGTCAAATTGTTTTTACAGATGGGGTATTTATTTTTTTTCTTTTCTTATGTCCTAGTGGCAGCATGGTGGCTATTGTAAAACCTGCACTGGATGGGAAAAGCTTTTGTATTCTGTGTAAATGAAACCCGTGTTTTGCAGATTAAGAATTCAAATATACTAAGTGGTAGAAGTTCAAATTTTAGTGATCTCCATAGAGCGTAGTCAAGTCAGAGTAATTTGCGAAGCGTGGTATCCCTGTAAAAGTGTTTGGCTTTGTACTGTGCCTGGCAAGTAAACACCTTTGGGCTTGATCCAAAAGTTCATATCCATGAGGGAACCTGTACTCTATTTTATACTTTCAAAAAGTAATTATCCTGCCTCACAGAAGACCCCACAAGGTTTATACTCTTCAGCCAGAAAAGCCTCTTCTGTGCTCCTTGCTTAATCTTCATGTTTTTTTGGGCCTGACTGGTTCTGATTTCATGACTAAGCATTGCCAACTGCCTTTCCACTGTCAACTGATTCTGTACCAGTGGCCAGTAAGGACCATTCACACCAAAATGTAGTACACCACTGCGCATGCATATTCGTGCATTGAGGGGCATGCTTTTATGCAGCTGATTCATATGGGCTGCAACGTACCTCGGGGCACCAAATAGTCATGCTGTGTTTTTTGGAAGGGCAGCACAACTTCTCTAAACATGTAATAGGGCCCCATTTACAATGAATGGCACCACAATGCACTAACTAATTTTATTCGCAGTGAGCGCTCCCCCCCCACCTTAAAAATAAATAATTTTCTGCTGAGAAATTCATAGTTTTTGCCTTTGCTAACTGGCTATTTTATTTGAAACTTGTAGCAGAGATACTGAGAGAGAACTGGAATATCTGCAGTGTATCCTATGTAATAAACAAGCCTCAAAGTAAACAAACTTCCTTTTACCTCCCCTGACTGAGCCCAATGCGCCTTCATTTGTGATTTACATGTCCCCCCTTCCAGACATTGCAGCCAAAAATTGTGAGGGTTCCAGCACCAGAGGCAGAAATCAGTGGACAAGGACTAATTGACAAGCTACAGGCCTGTGCATATGCAGTGATGATGCGGATTAGCACTCTCCCTGGAACATCTCATCCCACTATAGTGCAAGCATTCATTTTTCAGTTTCGGCATGACAAATTGCCGTGCAATTGCAAACAATTGTGTGTGCTGTTTTTATTCTGAAGTAAACTTTGTAACACATTTGTGTATTTTAAATTAAGGATGATAATTTTATTTTAATCCGATTTTAATCTAAAAAATAATCGGCCAACTGACTATGAAAATAATCAGTTGCAGCCCTATACTTGTTTCGTTCTGTTTATTATACGCTGTACTATTTCCTGCAACTGAAGCCTATTTTCTGCTCACATATGTTCTCGTGATTTGATGCTAATAGGTCCTTTTGTCTTGGTTAACTGCAGCATGAAGTCCACTGAATCACAGCCTGATGGGGCCAGATAAAAACAAATCTAACAGAACTCTGGCCAAAGCTGCTTTTCATCTTGTTCAGAGAGGCTTACACCTTTGTCCAAAGCAGCCTGCCAATTACAGAGAAAACTACTAGCGTCAAATACGTCTGGCCATAGAATGTGGTTCCTAACGATTCTATCTATGAGACATGTATATGGTAATCAAGATAGTGTGAATGGGCCCTTAGACCAAGTTTCCTGTTCCGTATACAGGGTGTAACATTAAACTTGGTCACTTCATCGCCCCCTGAGGATCCTTTGACAGGATTTGTTAATTGAGAAACGAAGTCCCATCTGCAATGGCAACAGAGGGACTTATAGTTCTCAATAGAATACACGTGTCGGTGATGTCATCACACTCTTGTAGTCCATTCATTCACCTTGTTAATTAATGTCCTTACCTAAGTAATGACAGGGACAGGAGGGATAATCTGCAGGAGCCAGAGACAAGTATTGCACCCGTGATCCACTGATGTGTGGTAATCTGATGACAAACTGGAGGTAGCCCATTACTCGTCATGGCAGATGCTGCCACGTGCACTGATTGTCAGAGTAGGAGTGCAGAGGATGATGCAAATATTGCTGCGGAGGTCATATAATAGTGTCTGCATCTGAGTTCTGTCACATGTGATGAGTGTGGGTTCTGTAATGGAAATGTGATGTGTGGGGCTAAACAAGGGAAAATGCAGATATGTCAGGGAACGTTATTCTCGTCTTCAAATGTACACTTTGCTTGTTTGTACACTACACACCTGCGTTCCTTGAGGCCTCTATAAAGTTTCGTTGAGTTCAGCCACCGGGCTAGTCCAATAATGACTGTTGGCTTGTGGTGGCCAAGCTAAATACGAGTTTGGCAAGCAAGCCTCTCAAGCAGGCTTATATCTGTGTGTTCAGCTGAAGATCTTGCTTTGTTAACGTTGCTTTGGACAATTCTAAATCTCTCCTTTTTTGTTTACAGGGAAATGAGGCAAGCTACCCGTTGGAAATGTGCTCACATTGTAAGTATTATTTTTTGCCAAACATCTATAATGTTAATGAATGGAGCTGTGATTGGTTATGATACAAAAGCACATGCATGCAAGCACGAGTAGAGCTATGTCTGTGCATTATACTTGTGTTCTGGGAGCTGCTGGTGGTAATAGAATACTGATTTGTCCATCATAACACCATGAACTGAACCCATAATGAAAATTTACATTTTTCTTGGTACCTAAAGTGTTTGTTTTTTATTTTAAGATTTAGTGGCAGAAAGCTTAGACTTAAGTTTTTACTGCTCTGTGTACCTGTTGAGGATATCTTCGCTCACTTCCTGACTGTGTGATTTAAGTTTCCATGACAGGAAGTGAGAGAAATTCCCATGGCATTAAAAAGCTGACAGGTCTATCCTTTCTCACTCTACTAAGGGCTTGTAAACACCATGTCCAGACCAGAACAGTACGTTCCCTGACCAAAAAAAGCATCCCAATGTATCCCTATGGAATTTCTGGGCTCTGTTCACACCAGCACAGTCCGGTCCAGACAAAAATACTGCTAGTCTCATTGCCTCTGGCCTGAAATGCACTGGAACGCATACAAGCGCACTGGACTGCACCTGAAAGCCCATTTTAGTCTTTAAAAAAAACAGCACTGGAACGCGTCAAAATCACCGTAAAAATGCACTGTGTTGGCAGATCTGCTCTAGATTTGGTCTAGACATGGTGTGAACATAGCCTAAAAGCAAGTGTTACTGCTGTGTCCCTGCTAGCACAACACACTACTGTGGGTTGTGGTGGTCTGTGTTGCAAAAATGGTACATCTCCAAATTCCTATTTTGGTGCATTGGCTCACCCTAATCTCATACCCGACTGGCTGATAGACCGGTCCCTGCAGCTTTCCTCCCCCTTCACACCAGGGGTCTAAGGTCCCTTGAGTGGGTACACACTTAAGTTGCTCCAGGGACTGTAATATTCCTGCATGTTTCTCTAGCCCCTTTACTGTGCTAATGCCTTCTTCCTCCTCTTGCATTTAGTTGGCTGGAGTAAGGTGAGTGCGGTAATGAGCGGATGATCTCTGGCTGCCTAATTGTCAGATAACTTTGGCATATGTGAAAGATAAGATGGAGCACATAGAGAAGTTGGCTTCTTGTACATTATGAGACTGATATTTCTTATGATGCACCAAAGAAACCTTTAAATGTTCCATAGGGACTCGTCACTGGATACTTTTTTTTAGCTGAAGAGCACATGGTCAGGACACATTTATATTCTGTTTACATTCATCACTGGTGCATGGTCATTACTCCTGTTAATTGGCTCTGTCACAAAATGTGCTTGATAAGTTTACTACTGGCTTATTTATTGATTTGATTATACATTAGAAAGTTCATCTAAATAATGTGAATTCTTACTGTATCTGGCAACCCTATATGTAAATGTAAACAGTTATAGATTGACAGCAAGTCTTCCCCGGAATAAATGCTGGAGCCACACCTGCTTGTCCCTTGTAGTGTGCGAAGCTGCACATACCACATGTCTGTTGGACTGAAGCAGTATACTGACACTGACACCACCTTTCTCTCGTTGCACAGAAGAAAGGATTGGCCAGGAAGGAGTGATCTCTCCAAGTTGATTCTTCTCATGAGCGCTCCACACCGGTTTATCTTGCTGCAGGCCTGCTAACTGGCCATACACCTATAGATGTTCTGCAGATTTTCTATAGTCAGATCGAAAAAGTGCAACAGATTCCTCATCTACGCTAAACTGTGTGGGTGGAGGAATCTCCCTCTGGGCCAAGCCGGTCGGCCCCACTAACTCTCAAAATACCTGCAGTGCCTTCATCCCATCAGATTGTTCAGGTATTTTGAGCCAGCGGGGCCGACTAGCAAGATACCGAAGCTTGGCCCAGTGGGAGATTCCTCCATTCACACAGTTTAGCGTAGATGGGGGAATCTGTTGCACTTTTTCCCTCTGACCATAGAAAATCTATAGGTGTATAGCCAGCTTAAGGATTGAATGCCAAGGTGTTTCAGTCAAGGTTTGATTAAAGGACAAGTGCAATTATTTTTGATGGACCCTTTTCCCATGTTAACCGTTTTTGTATAGGGTACACCTGCCTGTTAACCTTTTAGACATGCTTTTTGTGCCCACTACAATGCAAGGCTGGTGGCCATTGTGCCACATACACATGCAACCCAAGCTCCATTCACTTAAGTGAAAAGCCTTTTGACATTTCAAGTAGTTTTGGACAGCTAGGGGGGGGGTGGGTGCTGGCTAGGAAGATTTGGGGGAAAAGGCTGAACCTTAACACTTAACCTATTAAAATGCGCTCTAAACTCCAAACCTTAACTTTGTTAAGCATGCTTATTAATGGATACCTTCCCTGTCTCTCCTATTTTTACAATGAGATATACTTATTTGCAGCACATCCCTCTGGAGATCCTCGTAACATAGCAGATTTACCCATTACCATGCATTATGTACTGAGTAGCTACACATAGTGCATGAACCTTTTCTTGTGTGTTTGGTGCACCCCCTCCCAACATCTCATTCCCACTGTAGTGGGTACAGCAGTCTGCAAGAGACTGAAACTTTGCTCTGCATTCAGGTGCCCCCACTCCATCACTAGGACCTACATTAGGTGGACTTTACTGGCGGGATCAACAGGTGTTTTGACTTCATTGGCAATATGGTTGTTCTAGGTCAGTGACATTGAAATTAATGAAGCAGCAGTGTCAGCAAAACGGCCGAGAAGTTATAAAGTAATTACATTTGTCTCCGTGTAAAGGTTTTGGGTAATGTAACACAGTCATGCATTGTATATCGTTCATGTGCCTCTGTTTAAGACCACATGGGAAACTGTGAATATCTCTGCATGTGGCTACTTGTGGCTTTTCAACCTGTTCATGCGAAGTAGGCCTAAACCAGGAAATCAAATCTATCATGCAAGTTAAAGGAGAACTATGAGGAGTGCTTTTCACTCACCTCATAGTTCTAGCTGACCTGTGATAATGAGACTGTCACAGGTCGGCTCAGTAGATCGGGAGGTGAGCGAACACATGCCGGCGCTCGCTCACTTCTCGATCCTGTCACGGCTAGTTTGTGTCCTCCCGTTACCCCAAGGAGAACTATGGGGAAAAGCCTTAACCCCATAGCTCTCCTTTTAAGCATTTGATGCCTTATGTGTAAGCTGTGCTATGAGAAGGTTTTAGGCCCCGTTCACACCAGGGCTGTTCGGCCGCGCTGAACCGCCGACATGAGCGATTCCATACATTGCCATGGGGACCGTTCATGTGACTGTGATCCGAACCGCCTGCCGCCCAAAATGCTCCTTGGCCCTTTGATCAGCGCGGTTTCATATAGATTCCAAGGAACCGCGCTGATCAGAGTGGTTTTGGGCGTTTTTAAATACGCTTCAGAGCTGAAATGCAATTTAAAACGCCCCAAGCCACCCTTTTTAAAATTTGCGCGGAAACCGTGCTGAGCCGCAACCACCCTGGTGTCAATTGGGCCTTAGTGTCGGCCTACAACATGAGAGGGAACTAATCTGCCTTCCCATTGCAACGAATGCAGCAATGTGTGACACGTTGCAATGTTTTTACAATTCAGCTTTTTTATATTTCATTGGAAGATCATTCCACAGATAATTGCCACACAGGGCATAAAATATATTGTATGATCCCACTCCCCTCAGAACACACATTCTTACTGTATAATAGACTGATTTCCCTAGAAAACATCATGTGACACTGCACTACAACAACACGCAGGATATAGTCTGCTTAGACCTAATAAAACCAAATTCCATCCCATGCAGGTATTTTTATATAGCCTCGCCTAGTTTTTATGATTGGATGGGTTCTTTGTCAATATAAGATTGCTATGCAATTCACATGGTTGTCATATTTCTGCCAGCTAAATGATTCCAAAAAATTGGCAGAGAAAAGGTTAGTCTACAGTATTCCTTATTTTGCTATTAAATATATGCAAGTATAGAAAACACCAACCCTTGTATGTGTAGAGGGTAGAACTGACCCATAGTTTAGTAACTAAGAAAGAAGGACCGGTGAGGACATGACGCTCGTCCAACATGTGTGCTATGCTCTGCTAGAAAGGGAACAGGATGGTTAATGTTTCTTCAGGTGAAGCTGGGTAACCCCTTGAATGTTTGTTTCACTCTAAAAGGTCCCTCTTTAATCTTGTCTTTGGAAGACTGTTTTCCCAGGGAAATCCTCATCCGTGCAATTCTTCTTTCTGATTTTCTGTAGTATGTTGGAATACAAGTGTCTATGTATATCTTCAAGGGCACTGCCTGTGTAATGTGAGCCAAGAGATGGAAATAGATGCCTTGTCTGTCGCCTTCAGCACTGTGCTTATGAATCAAATACTCTTAAAGTGGACCTATCATTAATCTTCACACTTCACATGAATCAATGGGGTGCGGTGCATGTTGGCATTAGCAAATTGCATTATTTTGAGGAACAACACAAGCTATCACTTCTTGCTGTATGAGTACTGCTGCCTTATGTGACCTAAAGCTGAAAAGATCACAACTTCCAAAGCACATGTACTAGGTGCTGCTCCAGGTCAATCCACTTGGATCCACTAACAGGGTGCACACCAGCTCCTAACCAGCCATGAAATACACTTGAACTTTAAGGAAACGCGGCACTCCTGTGTCAATTGAAGATCGGTTGTAATCTTTAATTCAACAATAGGCATAGCATGCGTCTCAGACAAAATCTTACACGTTTCACTCATACTTGTGTGTGATCATAGTTATAGAGCCACTTAAAGGGGAACTTTACCCATATCTTTGGAGTGACTACAAAGGTACCTATAAAAATGATTAGCAATGACATTCTACAAACCGATACTTCTAGATAATTGCAGGCTTTGTATTCTTTGCATGCCTTATTTTTCTTTTCCTCCCCAGCCTTCTCATTGTGGCCTTTTTTTTTTTTTTTAACAAAGAGCAAATATATTTCCCTTTACTTCCTGGGACATGTGACTAGATATGTGAC